ATTCTATATTTAATATTTACTAACATAAAAACGAAGTTCTAGACTCTAGACAGCGTTGATTCCCAACCAAGTGTCACTGGGTGATTTCATAATTCAAGATATTCATGTTACTATTATAATATCATATATACTTATTGTGCAATGTTGTATAGATTGTGTATTTCAAATTGTAAAAAAAAAAAAAAGTATTTACTAATAAATTTCATAATCTAAGTAAATGTTTATAGTATGCATAGGGTTATTTGAATTTTATGCTTAACAAATAATTTTATTATTAAGGGTAATCTAAAGGAATATTATAAATTAATCATAGAAGTGTAAAGAAAATATTGAATATTATTGTACCTATATAATATGTATTTTATAATTTATTCTTTATTCTTTAATTTATTCTTTAAAATACATCATTTATGCTATATGAACTAACAAACTAAGTTTAATAAATAAAAAAAATTAACAATTTAACAGTGTTTTTTTTTTCAAATTAAAATTTACTATTGCCTTTTATAAAAAATGTACCACTAAAGGGGATGGAGCATAACATGTTTTAAGGAATAATATTTAGACTGTTCGCATTGCATGTACTTTTGAACTGTGTTATTGCGAAAGTAGTAAATTAATATTGTTGTAAACATGACTATATATTATGTACCTTATCAATCAGCAAGGAGATTAACATAACATACCATCTACAACTCCAAGAACAGTCCCACACATGTACATTGCACAGGTCAACAAATTTAGTTTTTGAAAATTTCCATTTTTAAAAAATTTACAAAAACTAAAAAAAATATATATACCTTGTTACTTCCCATTAGTTGATTTAAATTTTGAAAAAATATCTTTTTTTACTAGGTGACGTAAAAAAAAATTGATGTTAAGAACTGTATGTATGAGTACAAAATAAAATATTTTTATAATTTCTGAAAGTTAAAAGTTTTTTAAAGCTTTATTGAATACTAAGATCAAAAATGTATTTCTTACATAACCCAGAACATGG